TGGAAACGACTCGACGGCACATAACAACAACAACAATCCTGGAATTAATCCAGACCTGTTCAATCTATGTGCTGAGCATATAATTCACAAAGCTGAATTCTATGAAGAGGAGTATGGCATTGGGATAGGAAGAAGACTCATCAACGACCTGTGTTATGCATAATGACACAACTTGGTATGCTGAAACTGAGGAGGGTATGAAACACAAGCTGTAGAAGATAAAGGACTACAGCCTTCCATATGGATTACAACTTAATATCAAGAAGACAAAGATTCTTCCAAGGCCCAACAGTCAACATTCTGATAGATGAAGAAAAGATTGAAGCTGTCAAGGATTTAATCTTGCTTAAATCAGGGGAGCTCAGGGGGCCTAGTGGCAAGAAGCTGCAACTACAGTCCCAGAGGTGCACGGTTTGAATCCACCAGATGCTCTGCCGGGGAAGGAGGGGCAATCTCCTCCTGTACCAGTCAGATCTGATTTGACGGTACACACACACAAAAAGAATAAAAATTAAAAAAAAATAATAATCTTGCTTAGATCAACAATTGACCTCCTTGGTACCAGCAGTCAGGAAATCAGGAGATGTATTGCATTGTGCAAGTCTGCTGTCAGGGACCGTTGCAAAATACTGAAGAGCAATAATGTCAGTTTGAAGACTAAAGTGCACCTGATTGAGGCTATGGCCTTTCCAGTCACCTGCTATGCATCACAGAGCTGGACAATCAATAAGAATGGCAGAAGAGTTGTAGTGCTGGAGAAGAGAACTGAATATCTCATGGACAGCCAAAACTACAGATATGTTCTGTGTGGTGTTAGCCTGAAGTTGGGTGGATGGTTGTTGTAGGTTTGGTTTTGGTTGGTTTTTTTCCGCATTACAGTCAACCTCCTCTGGTCTCCAGCTACCTTAACTGCACACACATGGTCTTGCAAATCATCAATAGCTGTGAGACTAGGATAAGAGAAACAGTGCCTCCCACACTGGTCAGCAATAATTAAGAT